GTTCAGTAACTTTATTTTGATACAAAACTGGGTCAGCAGCTTTTCAATATATACTTTCAGCTGAAGTCTGCTAAACTCATTAAGACCTATACTGACTATAACGTGTTCACCTGCTACATAAGGTGTTCAGTATAAACAAAAGAGATATTCAGAACTATGCAAGAAGCAAGTCTTAATCATGTACTTTCCCTCTATTTCTGCTTCTTGTCTGCCTGGCTGGTAGCTCAACACAAAGAACATATTCAGTTTTCCATAGCCAGACACTGACCTTTCTTATTCATGTAGAATATATTGCTCCTCATGAGCAAGGGACACCATTGCCCACCACCCTGTATACATCTATTCCAAGCCCTCTAGATTACAAAGACTCTGGATACAAAATAAGTATTTACAATGATATTACAACATACAATAAGAGAATGAGAGGAGGAAATTAATGAAATAAAATTAAGAGAGAGGAAAAATTTGAACAATTAAACAAACCTGATTCTCTATGTAAGAGAACTGCCTGTTAGCTTCCTTCTGTGTGGTCCTGCTGCCCAGCACACCTCCAAAGCTGCCAGATCCCTGAGAGGGTTTCCCAGCTGACAGGAAAAGTACACAACATTTGATTTGATTGTCATTTCAGACTGGCATTCTTATTTTAAGACATCATTTAGCTGGAGTTGGTTTTGGAAGGGACACACTAGATTTCTTGCCAACAGACAGTGCAATATTCTGACAGCAGACATAAGCGCATGTTTATGGATATCCCTTATATTGGTCATTTACTCAGCTGGCAGTAAAGTTCCTATCCTTAAAAAGGACAAAATAAAACAAGAGGTAAAATGGAAATGGACTATGCATGTGTGATAAACAGATAAGAGTTTTTCAAATACCAACATGCCTACAAGCATACTTCTACATGTTTCATCTCTGCTTATTGTTCAGCATGACAAAGGTACATTATGAGAAAGGTATAAAACAAAAATTGGGGTTTGGGGCCAGAAAGCATTTACACAAATGCAAAGAAAGTCACCAACATAAGGAGGACAAAATGGCTAAAGATGAAAAAAAGAAACAGCACCAACCCGTCTCCAAACTGTTATTAACATGATTTACAACAACTGCACTTACCAGTATGAACCCTGTCTTGATGGACCGCGTCCAAATACATCCGCATTTCATTTGCATCTTTAAATGGTACCTTATCAATTGTCAGGAAGCTCGTATCCTTTAGTGTTAGCATCAGGCAGCACAGTTTTCTACCATTTGGTCTTAAGGTCACAGTTTTAATGTTATGGCTTAGCTGAAAACAAGAAAGTGACTGTAAACATAAACCCATTTTTAAAAGGCCAAAATACTTACTAATTCAAACAAAACACTTCAAATAGAGAGGGTAAGAGGCACTTGCACCAAAAAACTTCTTGCTCTATTTTGAGCAAACATTAAGCCTTACAGAATTAATGCAATTGGTAATCTTGGATGCTTACAGAACTGAAAGAACAGTATCACTGTATCTCAACAGTCCCTACATTCCTGGATAAACTTTCTGAAACTTGCTTTGATAAGGAGTGTGACATTTTTGAACATAAAGGAATAAGAGCTTCATACAGTCCCATTTAGCTGGCAGAAACTTCCACATCAAGTTTCAAATATAATTTAAGATGAGGAAAGTTTTAAATGTTAAGTACAAACTTCGGCTCACTTTATAATTTGCTCTCAGAGAAGACAGATCAGACATAGCTTAAAAAATTTGCTGAGGGAGTAAATCACTAAGAAACATGCTTAGTCTACATGCAACATTATAAAAACTAAGTGATGTCAAAACTCTGAGGGTTATGGTCAAGCACAAGAGTGATTTTAATAAGAATCTGTGCTCCCTAATAATGCCACTGGTACCTTATTATACCATTACTTAATTGTTACTTCATGCTGACTAACCTATAAGAACTGGCTGTTCAGTAAAGGCTCTACTATCCATGCAAGTTGAGGGTAACTCCTAAAGCAGAGGAAGCAAAAGAGTATCTCACATCTGCAGACTGCAAGGAAGTGTGACAATACATACCTAAGCATACTCTCATTTTCAATTACCTTGCCCTTTTTTACTTCATTCTTCATTTTGCTGCTGCTTCTTTAGCCTTGGCTAAGATCAGGCACTAGTTACACAATGACTTCCATGGCAGTCTATTGCTGTACTTAATGCTTCATACAAGATTGGAAACCACAGCCAAGGTCATCAGGCAATACACTAGACTGAGTAAAACACTGCCCATCAGATTGGAGTCTAATTTGGCCTGACCTGCATACTGCCACACTGCCTATCTAAATAACGATGATGAATCAATAGACATGAACACTAACACTAACACCTAAGTTTCGCTATACATTGCTCTAGAACCTGGCTTACCTCCTTCAAATGATACACAAGTTCAAAAATAAAAATGATTCCCCATTTTTATTTAAATTTTTTCAGGTACATAAAAGATTGAGATAGTAAAAGGCACTCCAGGTCCACCAATGAGATTTCTTTCTTTCTACTCATACCTCTAGCTTCTTGGAAAGCCAATCTAGACACAACAGAAGTTTATAAGAGAGGCTGGAAAACCACCTAAATCGAAAACTAAGGTTTTATTTTGCTGGGAAAATTGCACTTCTAAAACACTTTGTGCTCGATCCTTGCGTTTTGGGGCTTTTTTTGGGGGATGGTGGTGGTTGTTTTGTTTAAAATACAAGCTAAAAATGTCTTCAAAGACCTAAGAATTGAAAAAGGGTCTCCAAATTTTTCATCCTCCTTTAAAAAATGAAGTCCAGTGCAAAGGGATTACAGTTACTTCCCCATCTCAGTGCAAAACAACCTATTTCAACTCAAAACACTATCATGAGTAGGCACCCTCCATACTCTCCATGCACCTGTTGTGATCCAGTCAGAGGCACAAAGTCTTGGGAGGTGGAGATAAATGAAATATTTCTCTTAATAGGTATCTAGCATCAACAATAACTTAATAAAAGCTCTGAAAAATCAGTAAAACATATAATTTGACATAAGACACACCAGTTACTAACCCTGGATCCACCCAAACAATCCATTAAAGAAAATAAATAAATAAATAAATAAATAAGGTGGGGAATTCACCCACAGTTCTCCCATGGCAACTTGTCAAAAAAAAAAAAAAAAGCAGTGCTACTTCTAAAGGAAAATTATCAGGAATTTGTCACATCTGAAGCAGCACACAAGCACTGTGACAGACTGAGGCCAGCTCACACAAACTACACTTAAGCAGAAGTCTACAGCGCAAGGGGCAGGCAGCTCTGCCTGCCTGCTCCCACCAATGCTCTTGTGCCAGTGCCTGCATTGCTTCAAGATCAACAGGACTCAAAAGCAGATCCCACTGAAACCACCACCCAAACAATAACAATTGGTCTAAAGATGCAATATTTCCTCCTCCTCGGTTTCTGCAGTCCTAACTGCATGGTGCTGTATCACTGTCTCCACCAGATCTCACATTCGGTCTTTTTTCCAAATTAATTCATGTGAGAACCCTCCACTGAGCTCACAGAGAGACCTGACAAGTGCCAGAGCCAGCAGATATGAGACACTGGGAGCAAAACCTGCCCCTTTAGGCCATGGTTAGCTGTCCTGTAGGCCCATCCTCCCCATGGAACCACCTCCTGAGTCAGTCACACCATGTTAACACTGTCCAGGCAGAAAGGAGCCCATGAGAACAAGCATCCAGGGAAGGTATGAGGGAATGAAGACACCACTCTTCTCAAAGCAACATGGTCCAACGCTGGATTAAATCAAACCTGCAGTCACAGCATCATGCGCAAGAAGGTAGATGATCCTTTTCAAGTCTAAGTAACAGAGGTAGGAACTATCCA